AGCATGCAGGACCACTCAGTGGGCCGGCCTATGAAGGTCAGAGAACAAAGGAAACACAGAGTCAAGGAGAAGAGCAGCAGGAAGCTCAGCTCAGAATTGTTGGCTTTCACCAAGGGAGAGTCTTTATTCACCAAGAAAAGAGTGGCCACAATTAAAGTAAGGAACACACCGAACAAAGTAAAAAATACAAGGATTATACCCATAACCTCAGTGAAGTAGAGGAACTCGACATTTTTCAGCACACATGCATCTCTGTTTTGATTGGACCAATAATCTTCAGGACACTTTTTGCAGTCATTAGAATCTGTAACAGGAAAATTCTCACTATTATTGTGATTCTATCAGTTACATCCTAAAAATATAAATAAGAGACTGTACAATAGCAAACTTTAGCATGATACATAGAGCGTGGAAAGAAAACAATATATGCAAATTTCCATATCTGAGGTCTGTGGTACATATACCTGTGCTGTTGCTGATTTCTCCCTCTGCACATGGTATGCAGTGATAGCAGCAGACTGGCTTTCCTTTCTGAAGGACTTTATGAGTTCCTGGACGACATTGTTTACTGCACACTGACACAGGCATCTTTAAATCAAAGAAGATGATAGATGTTAATTTTTTATAAACACAACCATTCAGGACGAAATATGTCAAAGCCTTGCATTGCATTACTGCCAAAAATTATATTTGCCTCTGTCTTCCCTCCAGGCCACAATATGGCTTCAGTATTGAGGACAAACTTCTGTCCGGGAGGTAGGGAGGCATCATAATAGCCGACATGTTTAAATTGGACAGAGTCCTCTGATCCACGCTGCCAGTTCACCACCTCATACCTAGCCACAGTTGCTCCAGTGCTGTCAAACCACACCTGGTCTCCGTTATTAATGGTACAATTGACCTGCTTCAAAGATTCAACTACCTAAAAACGATAAGACAATAAGTCACCATGTCAATTAATAGAGCTAATTATAAACTGCACGGTAATCTGTCCTTTTTACCTGCCAGGGAGTAACCTTTATCGTCTTGTCACAGCCCTGACTTTTTGAGCACTTTAGAATGCTGTGCAGAGAATGGGCCACAGCATAGACAGCTCTGTAGATGTTATTGGAGTATCGCAGCTCTGCAACATCATCATCATTGTCTTGAAGCTCAATTAGATCCTGGTTTCCTTTGCATGATGCTGTCTTGGTGTCCTTGTTTGTCTCCTTACATTTAAACTCTGTCTCCCAGAAATCTTTGATTAAAAAATCACCCAGGCCACTGATGTTGGCCTTTTGCACAGCAAAACCCAGCGAACCTCCCAGCACACTAAAGCTGGTGGGAGTCACAAGGCTGTTGGCAGTGATCCATGCCTCCACACCAACAAACTGCAGGCCTGTGATGTTGTGCAGACTTAACTTCTCAAGAAGGTTGTTCATCTCTACATGGGCCAGGAAACCAACAATGACCCGGGCAGTGCTCTTTCGAATTACTTCTACGACTTTCACGAGTTTCTCTGGTTCTGCCCGGTGAAATTTCTCTGTATACTC